CCTACTCTTGGAGGTTTAAAATGCCTTGTTCACTCCCAGTGTGTGGGTGTCTTCTTGAGCCTTAGAGTTCAAACTGTTCATTGCGCCTGCAAAAATGCATTGCAAAAACCACATATGACATATGGTAGCTGAGCAGGGCCCAACATACAGGAACAATACACCCCTGTGAGGGCAGGATGTATTTTCTAAGAAAAAGTGTATTTTCATAGCGCAGTGCTGCCGCAGGTCTCACCGATCTCAGGGCACCACGAGGGTCATCAGCTGCATCCACTTCACCTCGGACTTGCCTTCCAGGAAGTCCAGGGCTCAGAGCAATCGGCTGTCCTCGAGGTCCTTCAAAGGGTGGAGTCGACATGGATCTTCGTGGACCCGAAGTCGAAGCCCGTGAGCGCTGCTCTTCCTCGATCAGCGCATCCAGCCGCTTGTCTGCCACCCCCACTTCCAAGGGCTCCGCTGCAGGGCGAGTCAGCGCTGGATTCGAGGCCATGGCAGTCAGAGGTTCGTTGGGCTCATAACCTACGAAACCACAAAAAAGGAAAATGCAAGCGCACAACGCTTTTCTTGAGCCAACATCCAATGGTCGTGGTGACCAGTCGCACACCTTCAAGGTGAATGCTGTTGTGATTTCAATTGATTTCATTTCATGAAAAGACGGGAGGTCTGGCATGCTCTTTCCACCTTTCACAGCTTCAATTCTCATGTACTGTATTGAATGTATTACATGAGTGTTATCGTTTTTTTGGTGTAACTCTTTATCGTTTTACAATGAATCAGCCATGGTTTGCTAAAACGGGACCACTGCTTACATTTCTCCTTGGTCCCGGTTTTTTAAAACATCATATGGCCAAGCGAAAAAATAGCGTCTTGAAAGGCATGGACCACAGAAGTGGTGTAAAACTTTCTTCTTCGGTGCGGCACCATGCACATGAAAAAGGACCGGTCCAGTGGCAGTGCAGTGATACTTTCGTTTGGTGGGGGATCTACTTATGAACAAATTCATATACTGCACCACCGACGAAGCAGTAGCATGCGGGTGCATGGAAACCAAACTTGAGGCCGAGGGTAGGTGACGAAAGCTAGCAGGGGTGCATCCGGACTGGTGGGACATCAAGCGGAGTGAGGCAAATGCTCATGAGGTAAAACGTTGTGAACATGTAAGACACACAAACAGCAATGACACAGCCAACCTTAGAATTGAAGTCCCCGATAATTAAGGAAGCGTGGCTGGACTTTGCCACACTGTTCGACGCCTCCGATGTAATTCACGAACCTGTGAGCTTGTTGAATCTGTTGCACCGTATCCCAAAACCTCCACGGAGGAGTTGAACGAGGTGTCCCAGAGGCAAAACAAAGCTGCTTGCATGATTTGTTTGGTTTCTTCTATCGATGTTGATGTCATGAACCTGTGAGCTTGTTGAATCTGTTGCACCGTATCCCGGAGGAGTTAAGCCAAAGTGGATGCCATAAGAGATGCCCGAGAGGTGTCCCAGAGGCGTCCGAGGGGGGAGTTGAACCCACGGGGGGGGGGCCGCCTCCTACATATGAAGTTTTCACGTGATGCGGCGATCCCGAGGATTCCAGCCCCTCACTTGCTAAAGCAAGGACAACTCCAGCTAGCTGGTGCTAGCTTTCGTGATGTGCCCACTGACACAAAGTGGTAGGTGTTGGTCAAGTGGAGTTATATAAGTGGTAGTTTCGTGGCTCGCTGGCTTTGACTCCTCGTGAGATGGTGGGCTCTAAGCCTCCTAAATGCGCTCATTCTTGCCGCTAGTGAAGAAGTCCTCTTTCAAAGCAGGTGAAGTGGTTCGTTTATACAGCCACTGAGCTGCGTGTTCAAGGTTGGTGACTGTTAGGCTCTTACATTCTTGCTGGTGAAGTAAACAAATCGCTTGTTGGCTGACTGGCACATTGGTGAGAAAGTGAAGCACCAGTGCTGCCGTGGTAGGTCTGAACCTTAACTGATATGTCGCTACCGTTGTTTTAAGTGCGTTCCTGATGTCGTTTTGTTGTTGCGACGCCCGACCAATGAAAGGACCCAGATGGAGTTAAGCCAAACAAAGCTGGATGACGTCCATAAATGCGAGAGTGCGCTTTTGCGACAAGAGCACCCACATCATCAACACTCCAAGTGTCCTCAAGGCTGGCACAGCTCCAGCAAACTGGACCTTGACCCAGTCCAGAACCGAGTTCACGTTGGCATATCCTGCCTGAGACTTCCAGGCACTGGCCGTTTGGTGTGCCATGATCCAGAAGTTCTCCGTCGCACCGCCAAACACGTCCCCTGAGCAGTACGGCACATCAACCAAGGTCCAGTTGTAGAAGGGGTTATCTGGGTTGGTCACGTTGAAGATTCCCGTCGGCTTCATGGGGGCCTTCTTGCTGCACATGCCCAGGAGGAAGGTCACCCAGTTCCAGCAAGCCCCTCCACCATGCAAATGGAAAAGGAGTCTGCCAGGATCACCAGGATAGACTACGAATTTAAAGTCTCCATCTAGGCAAGCAGTAGCTCCACCTGACAGTCTGGTTTCTTTTTTGGGATGCCTTTCACCGACCAGAAAAAGAGCGATACTCGTGTGCTTGAAAACTACTCCAACCCGCGGCGCTAGCAAACCTCCCCAACACTGCATTGGTATATCTCCAACTTGTTTTTGACGGTGCACCTGGTTTCACCACTGTCCAACCGACGAACTTCTTCATGCTACACTCGGAGGTGGCCATGTCACAAATCTCATATCCCACCGTCGCATCCAGCTCGCCACTGGCCATTTGCACATGGTTACGAATAGTTTGGATCTCTTCCACGAATCTCCCCGGCAGTAGCGAAGATGAAAGGTCAACACTGGGCGGTGGCATTAAGCTGGGAGAGAAGTTCCCTGCAACAAGAAGCAGCACTCCAACTAGAAGGATGACCAGGGAGATCACCATGAGACCCCCTGCCGAGCACTTCTCCACAGTTGTGCCACACAGGGACTGGCAAATGGTCACCCATAGCAAGATCAATGATGGCAGAACGAACAGGATCACTGAAGCATTCCACCACCACCAGGGTACAATGAAGGAACGAAAGAGGTAGGTCGGCACCAAGAAGACATAGCACAAGACTTCAAGGAAGAGCGCTGCGGCAGAGAGCTTTGCCGGCGTTGCGAGTCTTGTTTGTGAGTCAGCAACGGCAAAAAGAAGTAGGCCATGACCAACGAGGAGAAGAGCCCCCAAGATTGGCCACAACCAAAGGGTCACAAATGCACTGAAGATCACCACAAACAAACTCACCAGCGCACCTATTGCCAGAAGCGTTCCCAGAATCACTGCCCAATTGCATGATGAATCTTCGGCCGCTGAGACTGTCGCCTGCGGGGTGCCAGGCTGAAACAATATTATATAACTATTCTATGAATAATATGTATCATATGTAAAGTATAGTGTGTGTATATGTGATTCCGTTTGGATATCACAAAGGTAGCTCTACCTAATCCAAACTTATCCAAACCCTTCCCAAGCGTCCACGCTCCTTTGTCCTGCGATGTCCAGCCTGAGTCAACCTTGAGCCATTCATTGATTCGTGTGTGTATATATATATATATGTGTGTGTGTGTGTTATCTCTCTCTCTCTCTCGCTCTCCGTCTCCCTCTCCATATCTCAACATATTTTGCCACCATGAGCCACAAACCTTTCCAGGCATCAACCTTTGGGGAAGCATCTAGTGACCTGAAAAAAGCTCTCCGTATCTACACCAGCGTCCGAGTGCCCGAGGTCTTTCTTGCCTCTCTGGACTGCAGAAGCTGTTTCTCCTCCGAATCGCTCGTCGCCATGGAGAAAGCTACGCCTTGTGCTCTCAGTGGGCACGGACCGAGCTCGCTGAAAA